CCCTCCACACCCTGCCCCCCCACCCCCCGTGCAGTCTCCCTACCAATCTCACAGTGCCTTCCAGAGAAGCCCGGGGGGCAGTCACACTTGTACTTGCCAATGTAGTGGAAGCAAGTGCCACCATTGTGGCAGGGACCAGAGGCACAGGAGTCAGGCTTTCCTGGGAATGAAAGCCAGCAGGGTCCAGTCACAGCCCCCGTGTCCCCTCTCCATTTCCCCAACACCCAGAAGTGGGGGCCGGTCGTCACGAGGTTGCTTCTGAGAAGCACGTGGTGGCGGTGGGTGAGAGCCGGGCCGGGCCGGCTGGGCTCTGTCCCTCCTCCCCAGGGCCCGTCCGGCTGGGCTCTGTCCCTCCTCCCCAGGGCCCGTCCGGCTGGGCTCTGTCCCTCCTCCCCAGGGCCCGTCCGGCTGGGCTCTGTCCCTCCCCCCCAGGGCCCGTCCGGCTGGGCTCTGTCCCTCCTCCCCAGGGCCCGTCCGGCTGGGCTCTGTCCCTCCTCCCCAGGGCCCGTCCGGCTGGGCTCTGTCCCTCCTCCCCAGGGCCCGTCCGGCTGGGCTCTGTCCCTCCCCCCCAGGGCCCGTCCGGCTGGGCTCTGTCCCTCCTCCCCAGGGCCCGTCGCAGCTCCCCCACCCTGGCGCGCACCGATCTCACAGTGCCTCCCAGTGAAGCGGTACGGGCAGGTGCAGTGGTACTCGCTGCCCACTTCTTTGCATGTGCCCCCGTTCCGGCAAGGCCCCGAGCTGCACAGGTGGGGCCGGGCTGTGAGAGAGAGAGGCATGAGTGAGGGACCGGTCTCCTGGCGCAGCCACCCCACCAAGGCCTTCCAGTTCTCTGCCACCGGGAGGTCTCAGCAGCTAGGCCAGAACTGGCGCCCGGCGGCTCACACCTGTAACCCTACCTGCGCAGGAGGCTGAGATCTGAGGGTCCTGGTTCAAAGCCAGTCTGGGCAGAAAGTCCCAGTGAGACTCTTATCTCCAATGAACCACTCAAAAACTGGAAGTGGAGCTGTAGAGACCTAGCCTTGAACAAAAAGCTCAAGGACAACACCCACATCCTGAGTTCAAGCCCCACAACTGACACACAAAAAAAGTGTGAACTGAATGAGTTGTTACATCAGACATGCTGGTCCTACAGCCTTCACAGGGTCCCTGGGGTTACGGGTCCCTGTCTCCTTCATCTGGGGAGGGGGAGAAGACGCAGCAGGAGGTAGTCTGCCCCTTTTCTCCCCCACCCTCGACCCCGAAGTCTCACGGGTTCCAAGCCCACCACCCCTCCCCAAGAGCAGCCTTCTGTGGCCTGGTGCCTCTCGGGCTGCATCTGTGCTTCAGCACCGGGGAGGCTGGTGCTGTTTCTGGAGTGGGCACAGAACCATGGAGACAGGGACGCCGGGAAGCCAGCCGGCAGGTGTCACCTCCTGGAAGCCGAGGCCGGTGCCCCTCGGGGTGTGCAGGACAGGGGTGCAAGGTCACCGCCAAGACGCTGGGGGTCCCAGTGCATGACATCGCAGCGGCTGGAAGGCCAGGCCCAGAGGCACTGAAGACAGCCACTTTTGACAAGCATTTGTGGTAGAATCCTTCATATTCCGAGTGGAGAAGTGTGGCAGGCTGTGTGTGCACTCTGTGGTGTCTAAGTGTGGCAGGCTGTGTGTGCACTCTGTGGTGTCTAAGTGTGGCAGGCTGTGTGTGCACTCTGTGGTGTCTAAGTGTGGCAGGCTGTGTGTGCACTCTGTGGTGACTAAGTGTGGCAGGCTGTGTGTGCACTCTGTGGTGACTAAGTGTGGCAGGCTGTGTGTGCGCTCTGTGGTGTCTAAGTGTGGCAGGCTCTCTGTGCACTCTGTGGTGTCTAAGTGTGGCAGGCTGTGTGTGCACTCTGTGGTGACTGTGGCAGGCTGTGTGTGCGCTCTGTTGTGTCTAAGTGTGGCAGGCTGTGTGTGTACTCTCTGGTGACTAAGTGTGGCAGGCTGTGTGTGCGCTCTGTAGTGTCTAAGTGTGGCAGGCTGTGTGTGCACTCTGTTGTGTCTAAGTGTGGCAGGCTGTGTGTGCACTCTGTGGTGTCTAAGTGTGGCAGGCTGTGTGTGCGCTGTGGTGACTAAGTGTGGCAGGCTGTGTGTACACTCTGTGGTGACTAAGTGTGGCAGGCTGTGTGTGCACTCTGTGGTGTCCTAGTGTGGCAGGCTGTGTGTGCGCTCTGTGGTGTCTAAGTGTGGCAGGCTGTGTATGCACTCTGTGGTGACTAAGTGTGGCAGGCTGTCTGTGCTGTCTGTGTGGCTGTCTGTGCTGTGGCTGTCTGTGTTGATCGCTGAGCAGAAGGTGAAGCTGCTCTGAGGGACACAGACTGGAGCTGGCCCTGAGGAGCAGTGACAATGGTGGAGCAGGGCCTGGCAGTCATGTAGAGGCCGGGCCCTGTGGGCCTGAGGAGGGGGAGCTGATGCCAGCCTGGCCTGCCTGCGGGCTCTGAGGCCCAGGCCTCCCGGGCCCTGCCCATGTTGGCCTCTCAAGTCCATGCCCCTCCAGCCCAAGGCCACCCACTCAATAGCACGCCCAGCTACCTCAGGCCACGTCCCCACCAGCCCAGGCCACGCCTCTCAAGAGCAGTCTGCCCCTGACAATGCCCCAGCACCTGCCCAAGGCCACGCCCTCCAACAGACCACACCCTTCCACTCATCAGACCACGCCCCAGCACCTGCCCAAGGCCACGCCCTCCAACAGACCACACCCTTCCACTCATCAGACCACGCCCCAGCACCTGCCCAAG